TTTGGATAAAATTTTAACGGTACAGATTACTTTGAAAACGCTAACGCTAAACGCTGTCCGTAGACAGCCTTTTCAAAAACATAACACTAATCTCTGACGTTATTCGCGAACAGGCCCTACATGTGGTTTGTTAAAAACATAGTAACACATGAAGTTACATAAATATTTGATCTTTTTTAACATTGTACTCCCTCCATCCCAAAAAGTCTGACACGTTTCGAAAAAACTGCGTCCCGTAAAGTCTGTTACATTTCTATTAAAAAACCACTTTTACCGCTTACTTTTTCATACCCTACCTATCTATCACATCATACCTTTTTCCTAATAATCTACCCATCACATCCTACTTTTACCCATCACATCAAGGATATTTTTGGAAAGTCAACACCAAAATATCTCTCCCTTAATTTCCCAAAAAGTCAATATGTACCAATCTTTTTAGGACGGATGGAGTATCTGATTTGTTGAAAATGAGACACAAAAAAGATAACTTTTTTTAGAATTAGGGTGGAATAAAAAAATTACATATTCAAAAATTAAATCAAAATTAATGTTCTACGAAACAAGAGGTAGGTAAGTAGTATGACTATATGATTTTATTAAACACCAAGGTTCCCATGACATTGCCGGACAATGTCATGGGAACCTTGCCATTTATTAAATGACTAACGAAAATATAAAAATATAATGAACAAAATTTGACCGTATGAATCATAGACAGACAACTAAATTTGGGACTGGAGTATAAATTATACTCCCTCCGTCCCAAAAAGTTTGTTACGTTTAGAAAAAACTGCGTCCCATAAAGTCCGTTACATTTCTATTAAAAAACCACTTTTACCCCTTATTTTTTCATACCCTACCTATCACATCATATCTTTTTTCTAATAATCTACCCATCACATCTTACTTTTACCCATCACATCAAGGGTATTTTTGGAAAGTCAATACCAAAATATCCCTCCTTTAATTTCACAAAAAGTCAAACTGTCCCATTTTTTTTGGGACGGAGAGAGTATATGGTTAACAAAAAGTCAAACTGTCCCATTCTTATGGTTAAATTAAACTGGAGGAGAACAAATAGTGATATAGTGCATTTGGTGTTACACTGTTACGTACCACATGGAAGCCAAGAAAATGGTACAAATAAACTCCGGGAACTGAATTCGTGCGTTTTCGGACTTTGCTATGTTTGATCGACTATTACGGCCTTGTTTGATTCTAGCTCTAATTTGACACTTCCTAACATGCATTTATTTGAAAGATCCAAACATGTACTTATAACTTGTATTATCTCCATTCTACAAAACCCTTCCGGTTTTGACTTTGGAGAAAAATAAGGAAAGTGTAATTTTGGTTGACTTTTCAATTTTGCCCCTGATGTGATGAGAAAAAGTTAGATGTGATAGTTTGGTTATTAGTGAAAAAGTATGATGTGATAGATATGTTATGAAAAAATAGAGGTAAAAGTAGTTTTTTGATAGAAAGTGGAAGTGTTTTGTGGAAAGCAAAAAAAACGAAAGAGGAAGAGTTTTGTGGAACGGAATGAGTAAGTTTTAACCGGTTGAGTAGAAAACTGATTTACCATAGACGTTAAATTCATATAACATTTTTTTGCAAGGTCATATAAGATTTACTTAATGAATCTCTTCGTATAAATAAATTAATAAAAATAAATAAGTTAGATTCATCCATATTATTTTTTTGAAAGTAAATAATTCATGTGGAGTAAAAAATACTCCATATTTATAAGAAATGAGTGCATGTACGGAGCAACAATTTTGGGGTAATAAATTACACCAAATGTAGCCCATGTACTTTAGTTGTCTACTTTGTAAACAAACATAAATTGAAAAATTGAATTAAAAAATGTCAATAATTAGTCCCTCCAATGAAAATTAACAACAAAATTTGAATGAAAAAGAGTAGTTAAAATTAATTACATCGAATCAGCTAAAAAATAAGTTGAAAGGAACGGATTTAATTAAGTAACTTGTAATTTTCACATTAGATGAGTATATGACGAAATGTATGATAAATGCTCATCAAGATCAATCTTATCTTTAACAGACAGTGTTATCATCAAATCTCATATGTGTTCAATTATTTAGTGCTCCGTATCTGTGACATATTCTTTATCTTAAAAAATCAACTCGTAAATGACAAAAAAAGATCTCCAACAATTAACTATGAATATATGACGATGTTAATTATGACTGAATTATATAGGTTGCATCTCAATAAGACACCTTATTTCTTTGAATAAGACAATGGTCTAAAGCGGGGATCGAACTGCGGATGTAGAGAAGGGTGTAGCCGTCAATGGTGGGTGGCCTTCCCACGATACATTATTATTTACGGAGTAATTTATACGAGTAATAATTTTGTGACACACACACATATATGAAAAGTCTATTAATTTGAGTTGATAAAATTAATTTATACTCCCTCCGTCCTAAAATTAACTTCTCATTTGACTTTTCACGGTCTCCAATGCGGCATTTTGACCATTAATATCTCCAATTTTATAAAAATATATATTATCAAAATAATATATTTTAAAACTATGTTTCAAAATGAATCTATTGATACTAAATTTATATGAAAATTCAATGTATTTTTTCCGTAATATGCAGTCAAAGTTTAAAAACTTTGACTGCAAAAGTCAAAATGAGAAATTAATATTAGGACGGAGGGAGTAATTTTTTTTCAATTCTTTACAATTTTTTCCAACTGCTTCTAGTTTCTCCAAACTCTTTTCGAGTTTTCAACTTTTTTTAGTTTATTCCAACAATAACTAAATAAGATATTTACATGTGATGAATATACAATATCATAATATATCTAAATTTATAATATACTACCTCGAATAACAAAAAAAATGATTTTTTAAAATCCAATTTAATTCTTTTCATATTTATTTGAATGATAATTTAATTGAGTGATTTTTAACACTTTACTTTCCAACATTTTATAACTTCTTCTAACCTTTTTAAGTTCTAATTTAAACTAATTTCTTTCAACTTCTACAAATTTTTCCAACATTTAACTATGTTTTTACCATCCAAGCGAACAGAACCTAAAAACATTTTGTTGTTACATACATTAAATTACAATTTTTAATTTATAGTTTACCCCCTCTTTATTCCTAATTAACTTTCCATTATGAATTTTTGTATACATTCAAATTTATTTTTTTTGTCTACATTCTTTCAAAATCTAATGTATCTAAAAAATTACAATAGTTGTTTGTAATTATCCTTATCAAGTCTTATTCAAGTCTATTAAGTTGTAGAGTGATTTTTTACCAAAATTGTGTATATTTTAACAAGTACAATGACAAATTATCTTATTTCTTTAACCTTCAAAATGTTCTAACTTCTAAAAATGTAAGTCTTTTTGGTATGTACCCATGTTTATGTGACTATGTTTTTCTGTGTGAAAATGATAAATTTGAAGTTAAATATTTATACATTGCAGTGTTGGCCAGTGTAGACTATAGAAACAAACATAAATGGCGTGTTAAATCTGAGAATTTAATGCAACCATAGAAAAAACCATTAACCTACAAATAAATACGGAATAATGTGTTTGGCACAATTAAGTAATTGAAAGATTTTCTTCAAAAAAACAAAAGTAATTGAAAGATTGTACTGTATTTCCTAAAAATGACTTTTTTTAAAACTAACTCAAAAAAGGCTTAAAGCACATGGAATAAATATTGTTTATTTTAAAAACTTCACAGCTCACAGAAAACATGTTGCAACTCACATTTTATAGCCGACAACTCATTTTAAGATCCATTGACCGCTTTGACCCCGACCCACATTGATCATTGACGGGGTATACTCCGTATAGACGGAGTAACTTTTTTTTATTTACTCCCACATTGCATTACATTACTCCTTAAATTATTTTTTACTTTTTCTTTTTTGTCTGGAATTGTTTCTTTTTTTTTGATTTTTTGATCAAAATTTGTAAACTTTAATTTCAATTTGTAGAAAAAACATATTGGATTTTGAAATGAATTTAATATCAACTTTTCTCTAATAAAACGTAGTTTTGATATATCAAATTTATATAGAATATATCTATATATAAATATAGATATTAAATGTCAAATTATAACATTAGAGATCGTAAAAAGTTAAATGAAAAGAACATTTTCGGACGCAGAAAGTATTTATTTTTATTAGAATCAGATCACATCAAAAATAACTTTAATATAATTACATTCAGATCAAATTAGATCAAAATTTATTCTAATCAGATCAATATCATTCAGATTAAATGAAGATAACATGACCTAATACTCTGTAAGAATTTATAATATCTGTTCATACTATTTTCAACTTAATGCGCATAAAGAGCTAAATTTTCCATCTCCAGTGGGGTCCAAACCTATGTAAATTTTTCTATCACTCAAGCCAGAAGAAAACTCAGAAAAACTAATCTTTTTTTGTTTTATAGTAAAATAGTAAAATTTTTATTACCAAAATGACAATTACCGAACGCATTAAATATATACGGGAAAGAAAGGAAAAAAGAAGAGCAAATACTTCCGTAAAATTTGCCGTGAGTTTCCGGGGTTATCCTGAGGTGCAGAATTTCAAGCGCCGCCGTGCAAGAAGTGCGGGGGGGCGCGTTACCGCCACTCACCGCCGCGGACTCAAGAGGCCCCACCGCCCCCGACTCCTTCCTTCATCATCAATCTAAGATCTATTATCATCAACTCTCATATCTCTCTCTCTCTCTCTCCACACAGCCGATCTCCCCTGTCTCTCTTGTGCATTACGCGTTGAACTTTCCACACTTGTTCTTCTTCTTCTTCTTCCTCGTCTTCTCCCCCTTTTCTCGCTCTTCAATTTTCTCTCACTAAAAGCCCTTTCTCTCTCATACCCACTCTCTTAAATCTCTACTATATTTGTCATTGTCGATTTGATTCCCTGATTCCACGCCACCTACAGCTCAGAGGAGAGAAACCCATTAATCCNCATACCCTACCCCGTCCCTCTGTAGTTATATACGCCTCCGTATATAATACACCTAATTCATTACCCGATATTAATTCTGGGTCTGTATTTGTGCGTTTGGACATCATTTTCAGCCAGTCTGGCTATTAAGAGCACACTAGCTTCCCTCAACTGAGAGTTTAAGAGAGAGAGAGAGAGAGAGAAGAGGGTTGTGCTTTTCTTGGCTGTTCTTCATAATGGGCTTCACTCACTGAGAGGGAGAGAGAAGAGGAGTTTTTTTCTTTTCTCTGTTTCTTGGCTGAGAAGGTCCAATGGAAACCAAAGGGAGGCTAATTGCTGGGTCACACAACAGGAATGAGTTTGTGCTCATCAATGCTGATGAGATTGGAAGGGTAAGTGCCCCTGTCAAAGAGATTTGGGGGGGTTAAAACCCAGTTTTCAAGGGGTATTTTTGTGTCGGTGCTGAGAACTTTTGCCCCAATTTGGGCTTTTCATGTACCCTCTTCGAGCGTTTCCATTTTTCATGCCAAAGATTTGACCTTTACTGAAGATTTTGGAGCTGGATGCTAGATTTGAGCCAAGAACTTCCCTTTTTCCTCTATCTTTTCTCTGATTTCCGCAATTCAAATCCTATTTTGCTTAATTGAATGAACCTACTTTCTCTCTCGCTCTTGCTTTTACTTTGACTTCCTCAGTAAATTACGGAGCACATGGATTTATAGAAGTGACTTACCAAAACTGGTTTCTTCTAGCTCACTTGCAAAATTCATTGGTTATTGGAGAAAGTTAGCCCCGGCCTTTGATTTTCTTACCCAAATTGTTAACTGTGGGGTTGGATTTGGGTGTGATTTGTTCATTGGCATGTGTTAATCACTTAATTGTATAATCATCTGCTCAAATCTTTGGATTTCTTGATCTGATTTGTGGTTTTGTTGCCTGTTCTATAACAGGTGACTTCTGTGAAGGAGTTAAGCGGGCAGATTTGCCAGATTTGTGGAGATGAGATTGAAATTACAGAAGACAGAGAGCCATTTGTTGCTTGCAATGAATGCGCATTCCCGGTTTGTAGACCTTGTTATGAATATGAAAGGAGAGAAGGAAATCAAGCTTGCCCTCAATGCAAAACCCGGTACAAGCGCATAAAAGGTAATTGCAAGTGTGTTAGACCTATCAGTTTTTCTTTATTTGAGACACCTACGTTGTGAATATCATAAAGGTTGAAACTTTACTCCATTTCAGGGAGTCCTAGAGTTGAAGGAGATGAAGAAGAGGATGAATTTGATGATTTGGATCATGAGTTTGATTACCCCGAGCAAATTACCGAAGCGGGACTATCTGCTCGCTTTAACGGTGTCAATTCTCCATTGGACTCAGACCCCTCTGCTGTTGAGTCAAAAATCCCTCTACTTACCTATGGTGAAGAGGTAGTAGATTCAGTCACATTCTTTCATTTGTTTCCATTGTTAAATTCCCCAAGCTCTTCAAAGTTTCCAGCTTTTAATTCCCTGATATTTGTTTTTAAAGGATGATGGGATTTCAGCAGACAAACACGCCCTTATCATTCCCCCATTTATGAGCCGCGGGAAGAGAGTTCATCCAGTGCCGTTCTCTGATACTGGATCAGTGGCATGTAAGTAATCTAATTGTTTTGTTGATGAATGTTCATCTTTGACAGGAAAGTCCAGTGCACGAGAGTTAACTCTATGATTATTGAATTTTTTTTGTTTAGCAATGCCACCTCGGCCCATGGATCCGAAGAAAGATTTGGCTGTCTATGGGTATGGGACTGTTGCTTGGAAGGAAAGAATGGAGGAGTGGAAGAAAAAGCAGAGTGATAAGCTGCAGGTAGTTAAGCATGAAGGAGATAAAGGTGGCCGTGACGAGCTGGATGATCCCGATTTGCCTAAGTAGGTTTATCACCTTTTGATTCTAGTCCATAACAAATTGCTTACTAAACATAGTAAGAGAGTGTTTTGAGGTGCTTAAAGTTTTTAAAAAGTGTATTTTGCCAACGCAATAAAAAATCGTCCCAAATGTGCTTCTCAAGCTATTGCTTCTCCATCTCTTAAAAAAAGGAAAATGAGACACTAGAAGCTGGGAATCAATTTCAAAATAAGTCCAAAAACATCTTCTAAATTTAGAACTTCGAGCGATGCGATGGCGGTTTCTGTGAGGTCTTTTGTGATTTAGAAGAAAACATTACTTTGTCTTACTTAGCAAACTACTCTGTGGCACTTTGCAAATGATTTTGTGTTCAGAAATGAGATTTTCAGTATCATTTCATTGGCTCTATTGCAGGATGGATGAAGGCAGACAACCACTTTCAAGAAAGTTATCAATTCCCTCAAGCAAACTAAGTCCTTACAGATTAATCATTTTACTCCGTATGGTGATTCTTGGGTTCTTTTTCCATTATCGAATTCTCCACCCTGTCAATGATGCTTTTGGTTTGTGGCTGACATCTATTATATGTGAGATATGGTTTGCTGTGTCATGGATATTTGATCAGTTCCCGAAGTGGTTCCCCGTTGTACGGGAAACGTATCTGGACAGGCTGTCACTAAGGTATATACATTTCTTGGTATTTACCTTCTGCACCACCCCTTACATTTTGGTTGTTCTACTGTCTAAGGTTTTTTTTTAATATTTTCCCCTAAGGTATGACAAAGAAGGGAAGCCATCTGAATTAGCCTCTGTGGATGTGTTCGTGAGTACAGTGGACCCCATGAAAGAACCACCACTGATTACCGCAAACACCGTTCTCTCAATCCTTGCTGTTGACTATCCCGTTGACAAGGTGTCGTGCTATGTCTCAGACGATGGTGCTGCCATGCTCACTTTTGAGGCACTATCTGAGACATCCGAGTTTGCGAGGAAATGGGTCCCATTTTGCAAAAGATTCAATATAGAGCCTCGGGCACCCGAGTGGTATTTCTCTCAGAAGATTGATTATCTGAGGAACAAAGTTGATCCAACTTTCGTGAGGGAACGCCGTGCAATTAAGGTGTGCTTAGTTCTGCTTCTTTGATTAAATCCAGGAGTAAAATTGGAAGAAACGAAAGATGCTTTCAAACTCAATAATTTTTTATACATATATTGTTTTGTACTCTATTATATAATTAGTTATATTTTGTAAACTCTACGAAAGCTAAACCTATGTTGTAAAAAAATCCAAAACTTCATCAGACATCATTTTTCTCTGCAGTTCCCAAGGCAAAGCAAAACATAAAAGGAGCTTCTCAGTTGTATTAGTTTTCCTTTCCCTAACATTAGCTTGAATATAAACATGTGCTAAAGAAAGTGCAAGGGGAATTGAAAAATGATGATTCAGCTCTTTTATTATAACTACTTACCATTAAATTTGGTGCAGAGAGAGTATGAGGAGTTCAAAGTTCGTATCAATGGGCTGGTTGCCATGGCACAGAAGGTTCCGGAAGACGGGTGGACCATGCAGGATGGCACTCCTTGGCCAGGAAACCTCGTCAGGGATCATCCCGGAATGATTCAGGTTTGTATTTTTTTTCATGTCTTGAGTACTTATTCCCTCTACTACATGTTTATGAATCTTTGTTATGAATAGGTTTTCTTGGGCCATGATGGTGTCCGTGACATTGAGGGCAATGAATTGCCTCGCCTCATTTATGTTTCTCGTGAGAAGAGGCCGGGTTTTGAGCATCACAAGAAGGCCGGTGCCATGAATTCATTGGTAAGCACGAATAATAACGTCTTTATCGTCTACTATGCATTTAAAAAAAATCATTTTGGGATAAATCTTGGAAACAACCTCTATGCTTCTGAGTATGGGTGAAGTTTACTGGGGTTTTTTTTGTGTTTTTTTTGGGATGAACCGATGCAATTTGTTGAATCAATCTTTATGAAACATGGTACTGGTAGGTGCGGGTGTCAGCTGTCATCTCAAATGCTCCCTATATGCTCAATGTCGACTGCGACCACTACATCAATAACAGCAAGGCACTCCGAGAAGCCATGTGTTTCATGATGGACCCACAGTCTGGGAAAAAGATATGCTATGTCCAGTTTCCACAAAGGTTTGATGGTATAGATCGTCATGACAGATACTCAAACCGCAACGTCGTCTTCTTTGATGTGAGTCAAACCATCTTTTAGTGTATAATAACAAGAATAATGAGTCGGTCATATTCAAATATAACACGCGATGAAAATCTTTTTTTTTCATGCTTTATTTTTGTTGTTCATAGATAAATATGAAAGGACTAGATGGGATACAAGGGCCGATATATGTTGGAACGGGATGTGTGTTTAGGAGGCAAGCTCTTTATGGATATGATGCCCCGAAAAAGAAGAAACCTCCGGGCAAAACATGCAACTGTTTGCCAAAGTTGTGTTGCTGCTGTTGTTCTCAGTCTAGAAAGAAGACGAAAGGAAAATCCAAGGACAAAAAGAAGACTAAAAGCAAGGAAACTTCCCCTCAAATTCATGCTCTCGAGAACATCGAAGAAGGAATTGAAGGTAACAAAAACTCCGTTTATTATGATAATGATGAGAATTATAATTAAAGAAAATATACCAAAAAAAGATTAAAGATGGAGTTTTTACCAAAACAAGGCCTCCTACATTTTTCTATCCCTAAATAGGAGTGTTGGCAATTTGGCATTGTGTGTTGGCATTTCACCGTGTTTTTTGGCTTTATGTTTTGGCATTGTTTGACATTATACTATTTTGATATAAAAATATTGACACTCCTGTTTTGTATATGGAACATGTTTTAGTCCTAGTCAGTCATTTCTCCCTAATAATAAATGCCTATTTCGGAATCTTTGTATACTTGTCCAAAGTCCAAACTCATTTTATTTGTGTATTTCTAGTACTCCAAAAGGGCTGTATTTTATAAAACAGAACTCATTTTTCATGTAATTTGCCCCCCCCCCCAAAGTTCAATATGATGAATGCTGTTAAACAAAAGTAATATAAAAATATACATAATGATAACATTAGCTTGAATATAAACAACGAGTGATGAAAGTTGTCACTCCTTCTGTTGCTGCATAAATGGGGATTTTAACACTCTTTTTTGTTGGCCGCAGGAATTGAGAGTGAAAAGGCAGCACTTATGCCCCAAGTGAAACTCGAGAAAAAGTTTGGTCAGTCGCCGGTTTTTGTTGCATCTACACTCCTTGAGGACGGCGGTATTCCTCCGGGAACTACATCAGCATCCCTTCTCAAAGAAGCCATCCACGTCATCAGTTGCGGTTACGAGGATAAAACAGAATGGGGCAAAGAGGTATGTAAAATTTGGGCTATTTCTTTTGTTTTGTTTTCTTTTAGTTCTGGGCAGAATACGTACTGACATAGGGGTATTTTTGGGCAGGTTGGATGGATTTATGGATCGGTTACTGAGGATATCTTAACGGGCTTCAAAATGCATTGTCACGGGTGGAGATCGGTCTACTGCATGCCCCAGAGGCCCGCATTCAAAGGTTCGGCTCCCATTAATCTTTCTGACCGTTTGCACCAGGTTCTCCGGTGGGCTTTGGGATCCGTTGAGATTCTGCTGAGCAGACATTGCCCGATTTGGTATGGGTACAGGTGTGGCCTCAAATCTCTGGAACGGTTTTCCTACATAAACTCTGTCGTTTATCCTTTGACCTCCGTGCCGTTGCTTATCTATTGTACGCTGCCTGCTGTGTGCCTCCTCACCGGCAAGTTCATTGTTCCCGAGGTGAGAAAAATCCGTTTTAAGGAGCCATTTTGCTTTCTAGATACATTAAGAATCGAATGAATGTAGACATGATGGTTGTCCACATTCTTCACACCACACGAAAAACATGTTTAGGAGCCATTTGATTCCTTTGGCACCAAATCCGGTATTATTATATGACACCAGGTCTATTTAAGTCTTTTTCCCCGAATCCCCTGCTGTCAAATATTTGATGGTAGCTTGTCGTCTGGGCTTAGGGGGTAAGAACCACTTCGAGGTTGAACGGAGTACCATAGGGCCCTCAAATGAAGACACCGGCCCTTGGTGTCAAAAGAACGGGACTCATTTTTACGTGTTACATACTTCCTCCGTTTCTTATTAAACACAATGTAGACATTGTGTTTGTCCACATTCATCACACCACACGAAACATCACGCGATGCGTTAACCTCGGGTATCCCTTTTCTTTGCAGATTAGTAACTATGCAAGTATCGTCTTCATTGCCATGTTCCTATCGATTGCGGCGACGAGTATCATGGAGATGCAATGGGGAGGAGTGAGCATAGACGACTGGTGGAGGAACGAGCAGTTCTGGGTGATCGGAGGCGTCTCCTCCCACTTCTTTGCACTATGGCAAGGTCTCCTCAAGGTCATAGCCGGCGTGGACACCAACTTCACCGTCACGTCGAAGGCGGCCGACGACGGGGACTTTGCCGACCTGTACATCTTCAAGTGGACGACGCTGTTGATCCCGCCCACGACACTCCTCATCATCAACATCATCGGCGTCATCGTCGGGGTCTCGGATGCCATCAACAACGGGTACGACTCGTGGGGCCCGCTCTTCGGTAGGCTGTTCTTCGCCCTGTGGGTCATCGTCCACCTCTACCCGTTCCTCAAGGGTCTGATGGGGAAACAAAACGGTGTGCCCACCATCATCGTCGTCTGGTCCATCCTCCTCGCCTCCATCTTCTCCCTCTTGTGGGTCCGGATAAACCCGTTTGTGTCGAGGGACGGGCTCGTGCTCGAAGTGTGCGGGTTGGACTGCGAGTGAGGCGGGGCCCACTTTTGTTCGGAGACGACGACGGCGGCCGTAGTGGTGTTGGGGTTGGGTTGTGTACAGACAGACACATTCAAATCTTTGTTTTTTGTGGAAAGCTTTTTTAATTCATTCTTTAGATACAGAGTATGTGTTGGTGGCTTGCTGCACAAGGAACATATATTATTATTTATTTATAGGACCTCTGCCTCATAAATTATGGAGTGTATCTCTTTCTAAAATAAAAAAAAGAAAGAAAAAAAAAGAAAAGGAAAGAAAAGAGAACTTCCACTGTATTTTTCCTCCTTTGTAACCCAAAGAACCTTTGTCCAATGTTTGTTCACATGATCATTTTGGTTTGTTTTCTTTTCAATATTTTGTATTGGAATAGATGTGAGTTCTTATACATTTATATTGTACCAAATGTGCATTATTGCCTCTTTTAAAAAATGTGCATTAGTGTCCAATTGGGATTAATTAAAGCCTCATCATTTTACGAAGGAGTTTTCATGACATTGGAATCTAATGTCATAGGATGAGCCGGGGCATTACGGTGCCCCATTCGTAAAATTGACGGTTAGTACACCCCCTAATCCCCGGGTAAACTTCCCACCCCAACCCACCCCACCCCAAATCAAATGATCAAATCTATCGGTAGCCAATATCTACCTAAACTTGTATGTACCCGAACTATATTTGAGCCGAACCAAAAGCGGAAATGTATATAATCAAATTAAATTGAAAGTTGGAACGAACGTAAATGATCTAAACCAATTAAAGCATATATCCGACATAGACCTCCCAAGAACAGATTCTAACGGAAATCGAACTGATTGATTCGAATGCCCGGTCAAGATTAATAATATATAATAATTTTACAGGTTAGATTGAATTTTGTAGTATTAATAATGTATAATAATTTTAGTACATGCTAATGAGCAAATATGATTCACTGTAGCATTAGCATAAAATTTCCTTTGGAGACTCGGGCTTCAAATCCCAACAACAAAAATAGTTTTTTTATGTTGAGCAATGCTAGGTTCATAAACAAAATGGTCACAAATTTTACAAATTTACTATTTATAGTTTAAATTCTCATTTTAAAATTATTTTAGACTAATTTTTTTTATTGAAGTTTACAAATAGTAAGTTTGTGATCAATATGTTTGTGAACCTAACATTTCCCTTTTATGTTCATACGTTGTGTTAGATCTAATTTCGTAGTGTTTAGAATATATACCTCCACGATCTTAAAGTATCTATCCAGTTTTAACTTTTTTCAGTCAACTAGTATTAACATTTGACTTATAAATAAATAAAAATTATATAATATATTAATGAGATGATATAATATTGGAAAATAGTCTTCGATATACTTTAATAAAATTATTCTTGTAAAAATCTCTAATATAAATTTAATTTGATTAATTATCAAAATTTAAAAGTTCTGGGTGCAAAATGTCAAAACTTCAGAAATACTCTGCAACAAAAAGTAACTACGGAGTACTTTTTTGTTTCTTTTGTGAGGGGGTTCCCATGACATTGGTTCCCAATGACATGGGAACCAATTAAGGTGTTCTTTTGTTGTGTTCTATCGAATTTTGTAGTTTTATACTCCCTCCGTCCCTAAATATTCACAACATTTACTTTTTCAGCAGTCGCGGGAACTTTTGTTTATTTTGACGTTTTCATTGGTTATTTGATAAAATAAAATATTTTTGACACCTCTTATTTCGAAGAACTTTTCATGTAGTTTTTTTATATGTAAATTTTATTTTTTATTTCTATACCAATATGTAAATAAAATGAATTGAAAAAGCTTATATTTTTACTCTGGAATACAAATGTGGCAAATAATTTGGGACGTAGGAAGTATAAATCTATTTGTAGTACATTGAATTTACAAATATAATCCGCTGTAGTACTTGCTAAAAATTCAGAGCATTGAATAATTCTCATCGAGGAATCCGGGTTCGAAGCCCGGCAGCGGAATTATACTTTTTTATTTGTAGATCGAATTTCATTTTATTTATTAATGTTATATAATGGCATTAGTACACGGAGAATTTTATATATTGTTTGCTGTAGCATTGGCTTGAAGATTTGATTCGTGAATATATATTTTTGGAAATTGATATTTTATTAGAAGTAAATTCCATAAAAGGTCCACAGTAATAGATCGTTTTACATATTTAGTTCATACATATCAAATATTACTAATTTAGTTTTCAATTATTATATCATTTTTCACAAATGGTCCTTTATTAACGTTTTTGTCAAGAACATGGATAAAATTTTATATTCATACTTCTCGCTCTTCAATTGAACTTCCTCTCTCCTCTCGTACTATTTCCCAAACTCGTCGCTGAGTTTGAAGCTCTAATCTCTCAATTATTAGTCTTTCTGGTAGAACCTAAAATCAAAACTAATAAACTTTATGAATGACTTTTATCGATTAGTCTCAAGAAATTACAAAGAAAAAATAAACATTAAAACTCATCCATGAAAATTACTGGTTTCGAATATGGGTTCCACCAGTTAGACAAACAATTGAAAGAAAAGTGATGATTTCGGTTTTGGGTTCAAAGCTTCAAACTCAGCGACGAGTTTGAGAAAGGAGAGCGAGGGATGGAGGAAGCTTAATTGATGAGAGAAAGGAGTGTGAATTTACAATTAAATCCACGTTCTTAACGAAAATGTTAATAAAAAATCATTCGTGGAAATGAATATAATAATTGGGGACTAAATTAGTAGTATTTGATATGTATGGACTAAATATGTCAAACGACCTATAACTGAGGACCTTTTATGAAATTTACTCTTTTATTGGCTTTTTTGTTTATTTTCTTGTGTTAGATTGAATTTCATAGTATTAGTATTATATAATCATTTTGTTTATTTTCTTGTGTTAGATTAAATTCTTTTTGTTTATTTTCTTGTGTTAGATTGAATTTTAATCGCAACAACGGAAATAGTTTTTTATATTTATATGTTGTGTTAGATCTAATTCCATAGTATTTATAATATATATTTCCATTATCTTAGAGTATTTATCTAGTTTTAATTTTTTCAGACAATCAATATTAAAATTTGACTTATAAATATATACAAAGTGTATAATATATTGAGTAGATAATATAATATTGTGAAAATAAGAAAATATGATCTAAGTGAAAATAAAATATTTGAAAATGGCATAGGCTTAAGATTCAGGGTGAGAATTTGTTCCTTCGGGTTTGAATCCTAGTAGCAAAATTTGGGTTTTTATTATTATTAGTATTAATAATACTTTTCCGTCATAAAAACAGTCTCTTCTTTTTTTGTTGAAAATTTTGAATAGCTCACAATCTTTCTCTTTTATCTAAATGACTTTCAACCACTCATTTTCAAATTTCCATTAGAACTCTGGGTTCAGATCCTGGTATCAAAAACTTTTTCTTGTTTCTACATTTTTTTAGTTTAAATTATGCGCTTATATACACATTTAATTATCTTCTGATAAAAGTATATATCATGTACTTTTTTGTTTTGTAAATTTATACCCCTTTATTTATTTATTTTTACGTGAACTTTTTAATATATTAATTTGAATAACATCATTTAAAGATCATAAATATTTGTTTTGTCAAAAATCAAATGGGACAAAATGAATATACATGTATGCTTTTTATATTGTACCTAGATAAACTTTTTCCATTTTGTCTGAATTTTTTTCGTGTTTAAACTATTTGATCATATATACATATTAAATTTATTAGTTGATAAAATAATATAATCCTATCATTTTATGTTTTTGTAAATATATTCTCCTTATTTTGTTGAATTTTTCACTAATTGTTTAATATAATAATTTAAATAACATCAACGAATATCATAATTTGTCATTCTGTCAAGAATCAAATGTTAGTGTAAAACAATTTCGAGTTCGAAACCTAAGAGCTAGAACATTAGGTATTTCTAAGCTGCATTGACATAATTTAATTTTGTTTGGTCTGTCTCATAAAAGTTTTTTTGTTCACTATTCCATGATGAGAATTTAATCATTTTATGCTAAATTTCATTGCTCAATTGATATAATAATATAATACTATAATCTCTTTTTAAATAGTATTTTAATATTATTTCAAAATATATGGCTTTGATTTTTATGTTTTTATATAAATGAAATTTAAAATAAATTGTATCAACCGTACAAATTGTAGACTATTCAAACTTTTGGAATAGGGAGTATTAGTTACTCGTATAATACTTTCAATATGCATAACCATTAAAATGTCATGGAGTATATTATTCTTGTACATACATTAACCATTTTTTGTGATCTATACATAAAATTAAAAAAAAAGAGAGATAATTCTTGTGTCAGATTCGTCTCGACAAATACAATCATTAAAAAAAAGATGAGCCTCATTCGGGAGGCCCCCCTCGAAAGTAATTTTCAACTGAGATGATTCAAATCCGGATTCATATTTGCTATTTTTATGTACTAAAGGCTTTACAACTCGACAAATACATTCATAATATCAAGAAAAATGCTAGGGGTACACCAATTGTGTACCCCATTTGTCCCCACCCCCTCCTTCTCCACAAAAAAGGTAAGAAATTCAAAAAAAATAAATAAATAAAAATAAAATAAAAATGAGTGGTGGAGAAGGGAGTGGTGTACATTTGGGGCACACCAAAGGTGTACCCCTAGCATTGCTCTAATATCAATGTTTGTAGTATTTTTTGTTGAAATAATAGTCATGTCACATCTTGTTTTTTAAAACTTTAGATGTAATATTTAAATATATAACTTTTGTTTTTAAATACATACCACTTTTCGTATAAAATGAGATCGAAATAATTTCAGCCAAACATCGTAAATCAAAACGTACAATTTAAATTGCAACGAAAGGAAAAAAATATAATTGAAAATATGAATGTTTAATTCAGTTTTGGGCAAAGATAGAAATTCTAATGTTGCAATTATTAAAGAAAAAAATGTTGCAATTATTTTGATTTTTTTTTACCGGGAGAATTAAGCAGGAAATAGTATCAACGTGCATAATGTTACTACCACGTCCTTATGAAATTTGGGCCATGAAAGTGGATTAAAATAAACTACGAGTACTGGGCTTAGCTCAAATTGCAAATGGTCCAAAGGCTCGGTAATAATGGGCCTTGGTCTAGCCCATTCAGAGTAGCTAAAATAATCAGCGAACAAAAAAGAACAACACGCGGCCTAAACCCTTCTAAAATCCGGCCTGCTTTGCTTCTAGTCAATTACTTTAAATATATAATGTAAAATAAAAAAATTCTAGTAAATTAAAGTCTGCTCCCAGTAACAAAAATTGTACCATAGTAAAAAAAGATTTTTGCCCTAATAAAAAAATTAGCTCCAAAAGGAAAAATTATTTAAATAGC